ACACACACACACACACACACACACACAATACAGCTAAGTTGGACATCAAAAACTAGTGAAAAATGTATAAAATGTGATGGAGGCATACAGTGAATGTTTAAAAACTTCTTAGAGGATAGTGCTGGGTGTGGTGGCACACACCTATAACCCCAGCACTTGGGAGGTTGAAGCAGGAGGATCACTTTGCCACCCTGGGACACATAGTAAGTTTAATGCCAGTATGAACTACATAATGAGACCCTATCTCAACAAACAAACAAGCAAACAAAGAACAAAAACAAAATTATTATAGTAAAAGACATGTTGGCATCTATCCCCTCCGAAGACCCCCCCCCCAAACACACATGCACTTCAAACACACTTATCCAATCATTCTTGCAATCTTCTGAAGCAATTCTAGAAGTCCTCTTTTGTCTTTTTGGGGTGGTGTCATGACTGCCTCAATGTCCTGAACCCAAACTTTTTATTTCACAGTTACTTTGGCTTTGGGGAAGCGCTAAGTTACTGGTGCCTGATCCAGTGAATAAGATAAAGACTAACAGTGAATGTTTTTATAAGTCTACCTTTCTGCAGAAGGCAGAATTCACCATATTTTTTTATCACATCTCATGGAAAAATTTTCATGAAAGAAAACGTCTAGATCTGCTTCACAAAGTGGCCAGGAACAATGGGATAAGTATGTTCAAAGAAGAGGGAGTACTTTGAGGGGGTTAATAGCATTGTGTCTTTTAGTGTAATAGATTTTTTTAAAATGTAAACATTCACTATGTATTTCAATCACCTTTTGTACTAAATTATTCTACTTTTTTAAAAGTAGAAGCATCTCTGACCAGACAAAATAAGTAAATCTCATACTAAAAATCTAAGGAGAAACAGTCCAAGCAACTATTTCAGAATTATTAAAGTACCTGGTAGCAGGAGGCCTACTGTAGTAACCATCAAATTATAGTAGTCAGTGTAAAAAAAAAGGATAGCTTTCCTGGAATAGATCAAAAAAGTCAATTCTTGGATCCAATTTTTTTAACCATAACTATTTATTCATGAAGATGTGCCATGTGTGTCCTCAGAAAAGACAGACATCTCCAGTGCAGGACACTAGTTCATAGCTACAAATAAACTCTACTTCTTCCATTATCAGAAGGTTGAAAAGGATCTCAGAATCCTATCCACTCCTCCACAGTTCTTTTCTGATAGGTGATAATAAGAAAATAGATGTTTTGCTTTAATACTTCCTAGAACCATAAGGAACAGATCCATTCCTTGCAATATATCTTTTTAAAGTATACAGATGCCCTTTCTGTGTGAAATTCTAATTTTTTTCCATAAGAGATCTCATTTATTCAAAATGTAAGAACAGTCTTTTTTTTTTTTCCTTTTTGGTCTTTTTCAGACAGGGTCTCACTATCCCGTTCAGGCTGACTTTGAGCTCACTTTGTAGCCCAGGCTGGCCTCGAACTTGCAACGATTCTCCTGCCTCAGCCTCTGGAGTGCTGGGATTACAGGCATGCGCCTCCGCGCTCAGCAAGAACAGTCTCAAGAGCTATATTTCTTACTAGTTTTTATCATTTTAAACCCTTGTAAGTCAGACAGAACAATAGAATCTAGGTTAGTTTGAACCACATTAACCAGAATGGCAATAATGAATGGAGGATGCAATGATTACCTGAAACTTCCTATTGAGTTACTGGTAGAGATGAACATCATAATCTGTACTTACATTTTTCTAGCTCAGAACAAGATCTATAACCAGAAAACTCTTGAGTCAGGATGCAATATAGACTTTTAAAGATATTTAGGAAGGAAAAATTCTTAATTTCTCAAATGTCAGAATATTCTTTATAAACTTTAATGCCTCATGATTCAGCAATAGATTTTCTTGATTCTGTTTCACTAGAAGAAAAAGAAAAATCCAAGTATCCAAACTGCCTCATAAATGTTACTCAAGTTTGGTTCAGTCTGTCTTGTATTTAGGGTTTGTTTCCTCCAAAGTTTACTTTATACGCTCCTTCTGAAAAACTACATTTATTGCATATTTATTTTAAGAAGGAAGAACTAACTATCTGATAGGATATGTACAACAAGTTACGGGCATACAATTTCAGTAGAGGTCAATTTCTATTTCAACAAATATGCATGAAAAACCCTGAAACTTTAATGGTGACCCTTAAAACTATATAATGTTCAACAATATTGCCAATATTCTTCAGTGAAAGGCACTAAGATGCATGCAGCTTTACATAGTGACCAAGACATGGTAGATATAGCATCTAACTTAAGGAAGGAGATACTGTATGTCAGTTATTACCTGAAGATTCAGTACCAGGAAATGCTGATGTATACCTTATCAGCATGAGTAGTTCCTGGTTTCACATTTACACCTATACACAGGTTCACACATGGTAATTAGGTTAAATAATAGTAGTTATGTATTTTTTAAAAAGGTTGCTACGGACCTGTCCAAATTTTAGTGTCTTAGAAATTATGATAATGGGATTCATTTGTAGGTACAATATAAATACATAATAAGTATTTAACTCTAAAACATAGAATTTATACATTCACCTTTTTTTTTCTTTTTTTTTTTTTTGTCTTTTTGAGACAGGGTCTCACTATGCAGTTCAGGCTGGCCTTGAGTTCACTTTGATAGCTTAGGCTGGTCTTGAATGTGCAAGGATCCTCCTGCCTCAGCCTCCTGAGTGCTGGGATTACAGGTGTGCACTACCATGCCCAGCATATATTCATCATTTAAACTTAAACCATTTCTCAATGGATCACTTTCAAGGTTTTTTTTGGGTCATTGTTGCTGGGGATAGAACTTACAGCTTTGCATGCTAATCAAGCGCTGTAGCACTGAGTTACACCCCCAGCCCATTTTCAAGTTTTAATAGTATAAATTATTTTAAATATGATCATGTTTCTCCTTACCGTAAAAGTAGTTTATTTAAAAAGTTATTTCATGGATATTTAGAAACTTATATTAAAAATTAGAAATAAAAATCTGAGCCTATAGTCCCAGTTCCTTGGAGGCGGAGGCAGGACAATAGTAAGTTCGACACTAGCCTGCATAACTTAGCAAGACCATGCTTTAAAACAGTGTCGCCGGGGATATAGCTCAGCAACACAGTGCCTGCCTGACAAGCACAAGGCCGTTAAGTTCAATTCCCAGTACAAAAATAATAATAATAATAATGTGGCCAGGCATGGTGGCACACACCTGTAATCCCTGCACTCAGGAGGCGGAGGAAGGAGGATTGCTGTGAGTTCGAGGCCAACCTGGGCTAAAAAGAGAGTTGAAGGCCAGCCTGAACTGCATAGCCAGGCCCTGTCTCAAAAAGACAATCAACCAATCAATAAATAGATAAAACAGTGTGAAGGCCCTGGGTTCAACTGCCAGTACTCCATCTCCCACCTCCCCAAGCATGGTTTCAGCAAAATATGAAATTAAATTTGATGCTCATAAAGATCTTTTCTTTTCTACAGAAACCTTAACATTTTTAGAGACTCAGCCTTTAAGAATAATACAGTCAGGCATGGTGGTGCACACCTGTGATCCCAGCATTTGGAACGCTGAGGTAGGAGAACTGCTACACGTTTGAGGCCAACCTGGGATACATAGTGAGTTTAAGGCCAGCCTGGACTACACAGTAAGACCATGTCTCAAAAAAAAAAATAATAATAATAATACAGTCAGGCATGGTGGTGCACACTTGTGATCCCAGTACTTGAGAGGAGAGGCAGAAGGATCACCACAAGTTTGAGGTCAGCCTAGACTACACAGCAAGACCCTGTCTCAAAAAATAAAACAATAAATTAAAAAAAGAACACAGATTCCAATGAAGTCTGGTAAACTCCAGATAAAAAAAAGCTAATAGCGCCAGGTGCCCTAGGACACATCTACAATCCCAGTGCTGGGGAGGCTGAGGCAGGAGGATCCCTACAAGTTCAAAGTCAATCC